TGTTGTTCAAGATGAAATAGTACGTACTGGGCATTCTTTGATATTTTTACCTCCATTTTCACTCTTTTTAAATCCAATTGAAAATATGTTTTCTAAATGGAAACAGTTTATCAGAAGATGTTCGTCTAGAACAGAAGATAAACTACTTGAAAATATACAAAACGGTGCATTGAATATTACTAGTACAAACTGTAATAATTATTTTGGGTACGTGCTTAGATATATGATTCCGTGTTCAAGAAGAGAATCAATTATTTAAGAATTAACTTACTTGAGTGTTTTTTATTTTTATAAAGCGAGTATAAGCAATAACAAAATTTTATATATGATAGTTTTTTGTTTAAACTTTATTTTTTATACAAACTCAAAAATTATATGTCTAAATGAATTTAGAAAGAGTCTAACTGTTTTATTTCTATATTATTTAAATTATTCTTAGCGCTGCACAGCAGGCAAAAATCATTATTAGCTGGACAAAAGTAATAACTTTTAAAATATTAATCCGATTTTCCCCATAATTGCCAGGTTGAGTATATTTCATACTACAAACTTAATGGTACCATTAGATTGTTTATTTAGTTGCTATGGATACCTATATTCCATAGCAACAGTGCATTTTGCACAGTTACCTAAGTTAAGAGTATTTCTTAAAATGTCATTATTATCATTAATTTATTAACTAAACATTATATCATTATATCATTAATTTATTAACTAAACTGATATTATTGTTATGATGCTATTTTATGTGTTTAAATGATGACACAAACAAAAATTAGTAATTTTTGGTGTTGCTATGCCATTTTGGGCTCTTAGAAACCAGTTTTTTTTTTTTATGAAACTTGCTAAATTCAAAATTTCTGTAATTCAAAAATAAAATTATAACTTTGAAAACAATCTTACCTCTAAGGATTTATAGACACAGTATATAAACACAATAAAATTTGAATCAATTGTATCTATGTAGTACACATGTCCTTAGCAACTAAATAAAAATCAACAAGTTTTAATACAGAAAGAGCTATTGAACACTTTATTAAGTATATGTAAGAGTAGAAGCAAACTTGTATATTCAAAAAAACGTTTAATTTACATAACATGCATTATTTTATTATAAAATAATAAATACTAAAAAGTAAACAACACCTTGAATACCAACTAAAATCAAAACTATGCAATTTCAATTTATAGTTAGTCAAAAATTGGAACCTCTTTGAGTACATTTAGAATACCAATTAGAAAAGCATTGCTCTTAGGATAATATGACTTTCTCAAACTACTTATCAAAGGGTCAAAAGAACATACTAGTTGCCTTAATAAATCTTCATTTTCTTTTTGACCGCAAACACTTTTTGGAAATTGATTCACAAAACTTCTTCAAGTTTTCATTTTGTGCTTCTTTTGCCTTCTTACTGAAGTGGCAAAAGAAGCTCAAAATTCCCAAATAAATGAAGTGTCAATTAGAAAGCTAAATAACAATGTACACAAAGTAACATGTAACATCTTTATCGTACTGACATCAAGTTCAAGAATTAGAGCAAACTTTTCTGCATTCAAAAAGTCTTCTAGCAGTGCTTCCATTATTTGATGACCCAGAGCCACCAGATATTGGCATATCAACTACCAGTCCTTTGTCCCCTACCAGAACTTTGTCACGAAACTTTTTTGAATATTTTGTTTTCTTCCTTGGATAATTTTCTTTTCAAATGGTATCCTTGTAGACCACTTTTTCACTGTTAACTAATAACTAATTTTAAGGAGACATTCCATGCTTTTATTTCAAGCATGAAAAGTTAAAAGGCCATAGCAGAGACCTAACTCTGTCAACAACATATTTTTAGCTTCTACTAAAAAATTTTGGTTTTCTATCTCAACTGTTGCCTGATTATAAATGCTTAGGCTAGTTGATCCATCTAACCAAACTTTAGAATGTAATGTTATTCTTTCAAGATCATTCATGGAATTGATAACTTGTTTCTGTTGTATTAGGCGTATTGTTGTATGATCAACTAACGATTGAAAGTTTATTTTTTCAGAAACACCATTAATAGTTCATAATGTTTTTTCTGCATTATTTACCAGCACAAACGTTTTTGTATTCAGTATAGAGGTTACAGCCTTTACTCACAGCATTGATTCTCAAGTGTAAGTAATCAAATTTGCTTATATTTATTATCTAATATGAGTGCTAGAGCTTTTTTAGAGTATTTTGAGCATGTTCTGAATCAGAAGGCTGCTTAACAGATAAACTTTAAATTACTTTCACATTAATTCTTCTGTCATCTTTAAAAAGATTACAACTACCAGCTTATAAGAGTTCATTTAAATAACTAGTTAATAAGTCGATAGCTGCTACTTTACGACTCTTTGTTTTATTTGATGAATTTTTAAATGATTTTACATGCTTACCACTAACTATAGATTTTGTTTTATTATCCTAATTTTTTGATAATTTAATAGTTTTTTTCTTAGGTTGGAGTTAAGAATGAAATTACAAGAAGTTTTCATCAACTCTTCAACTTAAAGACAAACGTTTACAATACTTTAGCATAAAAGTTACAAATTGAGCACCAATTTGAGAAAAGTATTCACAAATAAAAATGTGAACATCAAGTTTGTCTTTTTGATTAGACATAGATAAACCATGCTGTCTTATGAATTGATGAACTTGATATCTTGTACATGTTGACATATTACAAATAATAGAATTAAACTAAAAATTAAAATGACTTTATATATAATATATATATATATATATATTATATATATATATATATATATATATATGTACTTGTTATTTTAAAACATTAAAAAAAAACTTGAAGAAAAAACATCTTTCATTTTACAGCAAGTATTAAAAAAGATACTAGCAGCTAGATAAATAATTTTATGAAAGCATATATGTAGAGTCTTCAAAATATGTATAAGAGGCAAAATACAGCACAAATTTTTCCTTGTTGTCCTTTGAAAAAAAGAAGGGTGAAAATAAGGCATTTGCTACCAAAACTTATATTCAAAACAAGTTTAAAGATTTTTTTGAATTCTTTTTTTTATAAATTTTATATTATTATATTTTTATTATTATATTATTATATTTTAAATTATATATTAACAATTATTTGATCAGTTAATAAAAATATTTAATTATTATATCAAAAATTTATTCTACACTTTTGCTTTGTAAAAAACTATATTTTTTCACTTTATCGCTATTTTTTTGTGCACAAACTTTACTGAATATGATTTGGCGGAGGTGTATTAGATTCATGTGTGATTAAAACGATGATTTATTTTACCCGTTTTTTAATAGAAATTAACTAAGAAATGCCACCCTTCCCTAACCCCGTGAATCAAATACACCTCCGCCTATGATTTTTTTCCGCAAATATATTCTTTTAATATCTAATTCAAATACTTCTGAAGTCCCCAATATATCTAATTCAAAATTTTATTAAAAAAAATTTAAGCTTTCAACATTGATTTGTATAGTTTTGACCACCTATTGGCCCACTGTCCACTGTTGAAATTAAATACGCAACAGTCGTAATCAAATGCAACGGTATCAAAATTGAATGAAACATTGTGAAAATGTACTAATACAATGTCAAAATTGAATGATACGTTGTTCAAATTAAGTGGGAAACCCTGTATCAAGTTAAGTTAAATATTTTCAAAGTATATCAAAAGTAATTGTAAAATTTTACCTGTCCTTATCATTAATTATCTTTATATTGGCTTCCAACTGCTTCTTGTGTAGTGTTGGATATCTACTCTGGATATCAGAACCTTTTGGGTGTCATTACTATCTGCTTGTCATGTTGAAACAGGGTTTGGAGTGTAATTTTGTCAAGAGCTTTCTCAAGCTCAACAGTAGCATCGCAGATCTCATTAGACATTTTTCTTTTTGGATTGTTGTTTGTTTAGTGAGCTCAGTAAAGCCAAGTGATTGCTTAGTTTTAAAGTGGTATCTGGCAATCGAGGCACTATTCATTGAGATATTCATTTTTTTTTTCATCTAATTGAGGTATTCATATTTCGACCACATTTTTAGAAAGCTACAAGTGGGTAACTAAACCCAGGGACAACCTTTTTTAAAGAAATTCCAGAAAGCATTATTAGATTTGGCATGTTAACTGTTGTTTGCTATTTAAAATTTAAATTTTTAGACAACAACACCAGTATTTTGTAAGTCACGCTCACCCTCTTGGGGGATGGGGAAGAGGGTAGAGGGGTTGTTGGTTTATTAACGACTTGTATAGGACTTGTTACTTAAGAGTTATAATGTTATGATGAGGGGAAAGGTCAAAAATGGTCAAAAATTGCGTGACGTAATTTGTGGACGACATTTTTTCTTGTTTTGAAAAATTTTTTAAAATTGAAAAAAAAATTGCTATATTTTTTTTTAAATATTTCTGACAGGTATAAGTTATAATTGATTTATCATATAATAAAAAAAAGTATATAAACTATATATTTCAACCAATAACTCAAAACCCCCAATCTTGACAAATTGACAAAATTGCATAAGTCCTGTTTAAAACTATGTAAGCGTTTAATCCTGACTATGCTTTACTTTCTGTTCAAATAAGTAATTGGATTTAAGCGTTATTTCTACTCTTTGTATATTCTTCACATAAAATAAAAAATAGTTTACGGTAAGATACCGTGATAATATATCATTTAACTTTATTATTTATAGTGTGCAATTTTATATGTGCGTTAAACTTGTATATTTCAATTTTAACAAGCAACGTTTTAGAAGATATGCTTGTTTATCATAATTTATATTGTATCCCAACAAAATAAGGTAATGCATGTAGTTATTGGCATTATGAAAAATATGCCGTTTTTGGAACCTATGGTAATCTTTTTTTATTATTAATCTTAGAGCAGTGATAATATTTAGTAAAAGTATGAACAAAGGTGTGAGCAAAAATTACGAAAAAAACTTTTCTCAAAGTTTTGTAAAACACTATTTAATGACAAAAACAAGTAAAAAATGCCAATAGCTATATGCGTTATCCTCTTCGAAATTAATTTCAATATCCGCATTACGCGGCACTAATATATCTAAAATTCTAATTCATTCTAACACTGAAATTTCTGTAAATGTATAGTTATTATCAATCTTAGATGCATAGTCACATTTTTTATTCAGTTCATTTTGATTAAGAAAGTAAAACCCATCTGTTGCAGTTCCTGTAAAAGATGTGACTTCTATAACAACATTTGGTGACGTAGGTGTAGATACCAAGCTTTGGTCATTTGTTGATATGTTTAAACTTTCCATTCCAACTTCTGACAAAGGCGAATAAAGTAAGTTCTTTTTTTGTTGTAAAATCTCTTCGTACTGCATAAGCTGGCCCATAAAGTTAAGATTTGGTGAAATTGTTGGTCTTTTATTTTTGACATAACTAACAAAAAAAAATTAAATTTAAAATTATTGAGATTTTTTTAATGAAAAGCTAATTATCATAAATCAAAACTTTAATTAAATAAAACTACATAATTTAAAAACAAAACTGCGTAATATGAAACACAAACTGACAAAAAAAAAAGAAACAGTAAACTTTAAACCATATAAGTTTTTTAATTAACATAAACAACAACAAAACAAACCAAGATAAACATAAACAAACAATAAATATTGTCATTAAATGACTGTTACAAGTTGTTACAAAAACTAGTAAACTTTGTTGTCCTAATATTTATAAATACTTTTTACCGATAAGCATTGTCTAACGATAATGATAAGTGTTTCATGACATATGCAATAGCAAAAGCTGCGGAACGAGAGACTCCGCCTACGCAGTGTAGGAGTAGATTGTCGTCGCTCTCTTTAACTTTGTCTAAAAATTATTATACATTGTGTTTACATTTCCTAAATTGAATAAACAAAAATTTAAACTTCTGTTGCATTAGTTACAATTTTTATTATCATTTATTATTATAATCCTTAAATTTAATTACTGTAACTATTAAACGCTTTAAAAATTATATATAAAAAGAAAATATCCAAAATTGATTTTCGAAACAAATGTAAAATAGCAGTCTTAAAAAAAAAAAAAATTTGTTTTAGAAAAAAGTAACAGTTTACCTATAAAGTCAAATGCTATTTGAAACCATTCCGTTATATTTTCGTTCAACGAATCAGAAATAGGAATTCGTAGATAGTATCCAGAAGTACAATGGGGTGTATCTGCTGCTGTTAGACTAGCATTTAGTACGTATTTTACTTTACAGGTGCGTAAAAGATCTTCTGATTGTGCATCTTCTTCTGATCCGAGGTATAAGAATGGTAATACTTTAGAAGGTGGACAATTACTTATAGACGAAGTACATGGAGTAGATAAAGACAGTGTGCATCTATTAGTCCAATTGTCATTTTGTTTAGCAAGTTTGAAGGGAAAATCAGAAAAAGTTGCTAAATTAAATAAGACACAAGTATATATAAAACATTATAAATAACTTACCAGTTGAGTGGATTCAAGGTCAAGTGTTTTGTCTCAAGATATCTCAAGACCGTTTTTATATCACGGTCTTAAATTGGTCTCGTCATGTTCTTAAAAAGTGAATGTTTAAAAATAAATAATTTAGAATTAACACTTTTCAAGTTTTTTGTTTGTTGTTTTGGCGTTCCGTTTTATAAGTAAAAACAGTTAATCTATTAAAAGTAACCCTACTAGTGCAGAATAAAGGAAATGTTTTAAACAATTTATAGCAATTATAATGTGGCATAAATTTTTCAAAGAAGCTTCTTATATTATCTTCTTTACACTCTGCGAAAACTTCGTTTCTAACAATTCTGAAAAAATCATGTTTAATTATATTGTTGTTGTTGTTGTTGTTGTTGTTGTTGTTTTTTTTTTTAATTATTTTATTTTAATATATGTATATATTTATATTTAATATACGTATATATATATAGATATATACATATATATATATATATATATATATATATATATATATATATATATATATATATATATATATATATATATATATATATATATATTATATTATATTATATTATATTATATTATATTATATTATATTATATAATTAGTTATTCAAATATATTTAATATTACAAAGATTTTTTAACTTTCGGTCAAAAAATCTTCCGCATAAAAATTCCAAAAAAAAAAAAAAGTTTATTTATAATTAATTTTTATTTTTGCCATTTTTTTTAACGTTAATATTTATTTGTTAACTTTGGCATAAAATTTTTAATTTAACTTTAGATTGTATACTCTCGAATAATTTCATTCATTTAAAAGAAAATGTTACTTTTAATAAAAAAGTATTTAAGAACTTATCAGCAAAATATTATTGAACTTGTTTTCATTTAATTGTTTCGCTTTTTAAAACGTTTTTAAAGCCAAATAACAATTCTGCACACAAAAATATTTTTGGTCAAGTACAATGACTCAACATTTGTTTTGTCTAAAAATGATTTGTGGGAAGTTAATCAACTTTAAATAATGTGGTGTTTTCAAATGTTTTCAAAAATTATTGCGCAAACAAAAAAGAAGCTAAGTTCTTGCCGGATCATGACTCACGTTTCTAGAGATTAATCTATTTTAAGTGTTAGTTTTATTATCTGAGTCATTAAGCTTTTTTTTTCTCTTTCCAAGATTTAATTATAAAGACTCAAAATAAAATTCATAAATGATTTTATTTTTCCGATTTATATTAGCGCAGTCAGTCTACGCTATTGTCTTGATTTAAAATTATTATTTTTTTAACTTTAAATCACATTTTTTTTAATTTGTTAAAACAAATTTACAATTTTTTAAAAAGTAACTTTACAGCAGTTTGTAAAAATTTATTATTTATAATAGTAATTATTAAAAGAGGTGGTAATCTCAGGGTGGATGCCTTATACTTTAGATTTGAAACTCAATATATATATATATATATATATATATATATATATATATATATATATATATATATATATAGTGTGTGTGTGTGTGTGTGTGTGTGTGTGTGTGTGTGTGTGTGTGTGTGTGTGTGTGTGTGTGTGTGTGTGTGTGTCTATATATATATAGACACACACACGCACACACACACACCACACACACACACACACACACACACACACACACACACACACACACACACACATATATATATATATATATATATATATATATACATATATATATATATATATATATATATACACACACACAGACACACACACATATATATATATATATATATATATATATATATATATATATATATATATATATATATATATATATATATATATATATATATATATATATATATATATATGTATATATATATATATATATATATATATATATATATATATATATATATATATATATATATATACATATATAGCCCAAAGCTGCTCAGCCAGATGTGGGCCAGCTCCGCAGCCTGCGCTGGGCCATTGCTGAACCGGTATATCGTTGCTGATTGGATATATATATATATATATATATATATATATATATATATATATATATATATATATATATATATATATATATATATATATATGCAGACTGTTTTCAATTTTCGAAAAAACAACAAAATTGCGGAAACAGAAACAAAAAAACTTCAATCGACTCGTATTAACCATTATTAACTACAAACTATTTCTTTACTATTTCTAACAAAACAATATTTTAAAACAACTATGTTCGTAAGCAAACAACAGCGTTAAATTAAGGTAAAAGAAATAACAAGATTAAAAATCGTTTAAGTTAACTTTTTTAAACATTGGCAAGTGAAAGCTAAAAGAGCGTAATTGTAAAACGAAATAAAAAATACATAACATTTAAACATTTTTTAAACTGGTTTTCAACCAAATTTGTTACATTTGATATGTTTATTCGGATAAGGTTTTTCTCCTTTAAGTTCTTTATATAATTTTTATCTAGCTTCTCTTATTTACATACTATATTTATTTTTTTACACACTATATTTATTAAAACAATCGAAGAAATAAAAATACATGTAAAATGAGAACCCATACCTTTTCTTCTTTTTAAAGAACGTTTCGTTTTTGATGTAACGGGCAAACAACCACAAGAATCAAACATATCTAATGAAGATGGTGCTTTAGGACGCATTTTGTGATCGAGCTCTCCCTGTGGATTTTTAATTGCACAACAAACGCTACCTTATTTTCTATGTAAAGGTTTCCACAAAATACAAATAATAAACTATTTATTCAGATTAGATATCAACAAAACTTCTTTTTTTAATTTAATTTCATATTAGGATAAAAAATTTATTTGCAAAAAGGTAAAATATTTTTTTCTGCATGTAATAGTTTGATAACTGTAATGAAATTTACTCAAAGCCACAAAAAATTTTAAAAAATCCATTTACATTGAAGAAATACCAGTTATTTGAGTGATGCTTGATTAATGGAAATCTACGGAATATATTTCAAATATTTTAACTATGACTTATTCCTGAGATAAATTATTCAATGACGTAACTGTTTCTTACTCACCGCAAAAAAAGTCAAAATAGACAAATATCTCGTTTATTCATCAATAGAATTTACTTGCGCTATATTTAAACGTTTTGTTATTTTAACAATAATATGGATGCATTAATTATTCATAACTAAACTTATTTTCAACTGGTTTATGACTCACGCGACCGTTACGTAAATATAATCAAGCGGTGTTAAAGAAAAATAGATATAATCGTGAAAAGAATGTAAGTTTCTTCTAAATTTTTACTAATTACTTTACGGGGAAAAATAATTTTGTCATCGTCCGAAAAAAACATTATTTTAAATAAGATATTACGAGAAACGAAAGGTTTAACTATAGTTTATATTTATCTAAAAATATTTATCATATTTTTACAGTTAAAGTAATCCGATTAATATATATGTAGAATGATAAAATAAGAAATGTTAAAAATAAGAAATGTTAAATAATAAAGTAAAATTTTTTTTAAAACAAGTAATTTTTTAAACATGTTTTATTACTTCAATATTAACAAGACAAAACATAAATGCTAAATTTATTTATTTAATAAAAGACAAAACATAAATGCTAAAATTATTTATTATTAAAATACGAAATCGAGCATTAAAAACATTTCTCTTTTATGTCTATACCTAAACACATATTCATATCATCCTTTTTTCTTTCAATTTGCATTAAAATGCATTAATAAACAATCTGTGTCTGCCGTTGAGATAAAAAAAGATAATCAAAATAATTTTTTCCACATATTTTAATCGTTACTATGACTAATAATATAAATATTGTTTAATTTGTTTTAATAATAATATTAATGCATTTATATGATATGTAAATGGTAAACATTCGTACATTAAAAAATGGAGCTGAATTTTTTTTTTTTTTAACTAGAATAAATACAATTTTTTTCAAAACTCATGTTTTAATTCATCTTATTGTAATTTATAAATACCATCATTGAAAAGCATCAGTAATACTGACGTTATCTCAACTTTGATCAAGCCTTCATATTTGAAATTCCAATGACACTGACTGTGAACAATTAAAATAATATGTTTTTATTATTATTATTATTGTTATTATTGCTATTATTATTATTGCTATTATTATTATTGCTATTATTGCTATTATTATTATTGCTATTACCATTATTATTATTGATATTATTATTGCTATTATTATTATTATCATTTTTATTGATTGGATATAGGCTTGCCATCGATCATCTTATATTAAATAGTAAGATACACATAAATACAATCAAATGAAGTACAATTCAACTCTGTTAAATTATGTAATATTAATAATATAGTAAATTCACACGGTTATATTCTATTTTAATGTATAAACATCACGTTTATTAGACCTTTTAGTTTGTCAAGATTTTTGATTTGAATTGAAACATTTACAAATGGTTGTTTATGGATGTTTTGGTATTATTTTCATAGAAATTATATTATGTTCAATACATTACGTAATAAGTGAATTCCTTTTTATTAATTTGTTTTAAAATCATTCGCCACGATATTCAATAAAGAATCTGATTATTTGGTACGAAATATCTTCCAATAACTTTTGTGTTTTATATAATAATGTTATCTTTTAAAGAAAAATTTGAAAAAAATTTTTATAAAGTATTTGTCTTAGTTTGAATTTAAACATTAACAAGATACTTAGGTACTTCTGATCACGGTTCTGATCACCCTTAGGTACTTCTGATCACGGTTTGATCTCTCTAAAACTATTATCAAATTCTTCTACTTCATCAGAATCCCCCTATCATCGTACCACATACAACTACCTTAAAGCTGACTGGGACTCTTTCCGTGATTTTCTTCGTGATGGCCCTTGGGTAGAAATCTTTCGTCTTCCTGCTGACAAATGTGCTTCTTACATAACTTCGTGGATTCAGGCTGGCATGGAATCTTTTATTCCCTCTCGACGATTCCAGGTCAAGCCTCACTCTTCTCCTTGGTTTTCCTCACATTGCGCTGCAGCAATTTCTAATCGAAACCGTTACTTCCATATCTATCAGCAAAACAATTCTCCAGAAAACAGACATCTGTTCACTATCGCCAGAAACCATTGTAAAAAGGTTTTGTCTGACGCCAAAGCTCGCTATTCCCAGGTCATTAAATCTCGTATCTCATCACAAAAATTAGGCTCTCGAGACTTCTGGAGAATCTTTAACAGTATCAATAATAAGGGCAAATCTGTTATTTCTTCTCTCTTGTATGGTTCAGACTTTGTCACCTCACCTAAAGACAAAGCTGAATTGTTTGCTAAGAACTTTTCATCAATATCATCTCTTGATTCCACTAGTTGCGTTTTACCTGACATAGCCGTCAAACAGGTTGATCCCTTGCTTGACATTCGCATCACTTCAGCTTCTGTATCTAAAGTAATTTCCTGCTTAGACTCTTCAACAGCTTGTGGTCCTGACAACATTCCTGTTGTAGTCTTGCAGAGGTGTTCTCCGGAGCTTTCATCCATACTTTCTAAACTATTTAACAAGTGCTTATCAGAGTCTTGTTTTCCATCATGCTGGAAAGCAGCATCTGTTATCCCTATTTTCAAAAATTCCGGAGAGCGATCTGATTCATCTAACTACCGTCCCGTTAGTCTTCTTCCTGTCATAAGCAAGGTTTTTGAATCTTTAATCAACAAACACTTAATCTCTCATCTTGAATCAAATAACTTACTTTCTGATCATCAATATGGATTTCGGTCTTCTCGTTCTACAGCTGATGTGCTAACAGTAATAACCGATAGGTTTTACCGTGCATTAGATAGAGGTGGAGAGGTTAAGGCTATCGCACTTGACATTTCTAAAGCTTTTGATAAAGTTTGGCATGCTGGTCTTCTCCATAAGCTTTCTTCTTATGGTGTAGCTGGTAACGTCTTTAAGATTATTGAGTCCTTTCTTTTTAATCGTAGTATAAAAGTTGTCCTCGATGGACAACACTCTTCTTCACATCCTGTAACTTCAGGGGTTCCTCAAGGTTCAATCCTTGGCCCTATACTCTTTTTAATTTACATTAACGATCTTCCAGATATTCTCACATCTAAGGTGGCATTATTCGCTGACGACACTACCATTTACTCTTGTCATGATAAGAAGCCTACACTCTCTGATTGCTTGGAGGGGGTATCTGAGCTTGAAAAGGATCTCACTTCTGCTACAGCATGGGGCTCACAGTGGCTGGTGAACTTTAATTCAGATAAAACTCAATTTTATTCGGCCAATCGTTATCGTAATAATTTAGATCTTCCTATATTTATGAATGGTAATGTACTAGATGAGTCATCTACCATTCATCTTCTAGGATTAACTCTTACTTCTGATCTTTCTTTTAAACCGTATATCAAATCCATTGCAAAATTAGCATCTGCTAAGTTTGCATCTCTTTATCGAGCTCGACACTTTCTTACTCCAGATTCTATTTTCTATCTCTATAAATCTCAAATCCGTCCCTGTATGGAATACTGTTGCCACATCTGGGGCGGATCTTCTAATGATGCTCTTTCTCTTTTAGACAAGGTGCAAAAACGAATTGTAAACATAGTTGTACCTGCTCTGGCAGCCAATCTCCAACCTTTGTCACATCGTCGTAATGTTGCTTCTCTTTCTCTTTTCTACAAATACTATAATGGGCACTGCTCTAAAGAGCTAGCGTCCCTTGTGCCATCTACTAAAATTCATTCTCGTGTTACTCGCCATTCAATTAAGTCTCATCCTTTTTCTGTGACTGTTCCTAAGTGCTTCAAAAACTCTTATTCTTCTAGTTTTTTTCCTCGAACATCAGTTCTTTGGAATTCGCTTCCTTCATCTTGCTTTCCTGATTCATATAATTTGCAATCTTTTAAGTCATCAGTCAATCGTTATCTTGCTCTACAGATTTAGTCTTTTCTCTTCCAGTAACTTCCAACTCTTATAGTGGTTGCTTGCAGCCTTGTTGGAAGTGAAGATGTTAAAAAAAAAAAAAAAAAAAAAAAAAAAAAAACTTTGGAAAATGTTGATTTGGTGTTTATATTTATTATAATAATATTTATTAGATTTAACGCATTCTTTTGTTAAAGTAGAAGATTTGCATTTGTATACTTGTTCTTTAATAAATTATTCTTGAAGCATATTTTTTTGGCGCCGACAAAGATTATTTAGCAGTGTTATGCTTATTTGCCCAATTCCAGGTAGGAAATCGGCTAGTGACTAGCTGGTGATATTGGCAACGATAAAGAAAGAGGTTTGGCCACGAGGTTCGCTAGTTAGTTATATTAAATAGCAACTAGCTAGCGAAAGCTCATTACGATAAAGATAGTAGTTTGGCTAGGAAGATGCTAGCAAAAATTCGCATTCTATTTTTACACTATATTTTATTTATTAATATCATAACTATGCATTTTAATGAATAATGTAATAAAGTATATTAACAGATACTAAGAGGCGATTTTATGGGGAAGGGGTTGTTTTTTTTTAATTTTTAGGAGCCTGTCGATACTTTTTAAAGATTTATCCCCCTCATCCCTCCTCATTTCATTCGTAGAATTGTCTCTGCATATACTATACTATTATTATTGCATATAGGTATTTTATATACATACTATATTTGCTGAAGACTTTGCCAAACAACTTTAATTAACGCATTAATGCTGATCAACGCAAGATTTCTATTAATACTACAAAAACCTTTTCTTTAATTTTATAGTAGTTTTATCTAAAACAACTATATTGATAGCTACAAAGCTACAATATATAACACTCGAACTGATACAAACTTGTCGTTATGTCATTGTTAGCTTCAATAATATGATAATAACAGCACTAGCTGTAAAGTGTAAACACACAACAGCATTTTAGCTAAAGATACTGACTACTTATTTGGGAAGCCAGGGTTACCTAGTAGGCACCAAACCAAAA